CAAGAGACGGAACACGGTACTGCTCGGGATGGTGGCCCTCCTTGAATGGCTGGAGAGTGGCCATGAGGTAATGCCTACGCGCAACACGGTGTGTGACAATTCGCTCTGTGATACCGGCCGTGACGGCTCCCTTGACGATAGCGGCAACGGAGTCCATGGGACGGACAACCTTTGACTGAAATTGGGGCGGGACGTGGAGTTTGATTTGTTGGAAGAGATATTCGGAGGCACCGAAACCACCGACCACCAAGACGTTCTACAATAATCAGCACTGGAAGTGACGTGTTTCGACATGTCTGACTGCTCACCTGCAATGACCTGTTCTGTGCCTGAATAGCAATAATCTGGTTCCTGACAAGCTCGAGAATGCGGTTAACCACAGGCTCAAAGCACTGTAGAATCTCCTCATTAGTGAAGGTCATGTACCCCTCCTCAATGCCAGCCTCAGGGAATTCAGCCTCAATACCGACGTCGACAGCCCACTTCTGACCATTGTTTCGGAAGTCGGCTTTTATCCTGTTCTCGAAGTCCATGATGCATTTGGCGTATACTTTACCGGCTGTCTTGGAGCCATCTGGGAGTTTCATCTTCCTGATCTTGGCTCGGAGGATGTTGCTGAAGTTGCGGTTGAGCGCGGTGGAACCACACGAGTCTCCGGAACCAGCTGTGCACTCGGCGACGGAGAAGGGCTGCTCTTCTTCGACTTCGTAGGCGATCAAATCGACGGTGCCACCACCGCAATCGACAATGAGGACGGCGTCGTGTATCTTGAGGTTGAGCAGACCGGTCTTTGAGCAGAACATGGCGGCGGCTTCGGGTTCGGTGATGAGGGTGAGTCTGTTGTCGTTTTCGTCCCGCAAGAAACCAGCCTGAATGGCAGCTGCACGCGTTGCAGCCTTTCCAGCGTCGTTCCAGATGGCGGGTACTGTAAGGTAGTATCTGATGTTGCGCTCCTCGCGGTTGAACACCTCACCGAGTGTCTTCTGCAGCTGGTTCCGCATCGCCTGACGCAAGTGGAAGAGGTAGTCGGCGGCGACATCGATCTCAGACTTGCCCGGGGGTAGCGGCGGGAGGTTGATGGGGTCGATGTATGTGTTTCCGGACAGCATGAGCTGCAGCTTGAACCATTCGACCTTTTGCACACCAGGCTTGGGGTAGCCCGTGGGGGCCAGAGCATCGGCGATGTCAGGGCCCCATCCGACTACCTTCTGGTACTGGTCGTAGTAGAGGACAGTGGGAATCTGGGAAGGGTTAGCGGGTGCATGTGGAGGGGTCGGTCTAGCGCACCTTCTGCTTTGTCTGGTTGCCCGCGCCAGGCCATTCGGTGATGATGTCTTCCTTGGCCTCGGTGTTGGTCGCAAAGGCGAATGCGACGCCGGAGAAGGTGGTGCCCTGTGTGGCATGGTTAGCTGCTGCTACGTCTGGTGGTGTCTGAGGCTGCTCACAAAGTCGATGCCCACAATGAGCTGGGCCTTGGAGCGACCTTCACCGGCTACCTCTGCCATGCCCGAGGGCCTATTGTACGTTGCGGGGGGACCATGAGGGGCAGGAGCGCCCGGCGGTGGAGCGCCGTAGCCCTGGCCGTACTGTCCAGCTCCCGGCGGGCCCTGGGGAGGATAGCCAGGCGGGCCAGCCTGCGGTGGGTAGCCCATGGGGGTCTGCTGGGGCGGGTAGCCAGGCGCGCCCGTGTTGATGGGCGGCAGAGGGCTCGCGGGCCGGCCGTGCTGCTGTTGCGGCGCACCGAGGCCGCCGGGAGGGGCATAGGTATACGAGGGCGGGCGGCCCAGGGGGTTTTGCTGGTTCATGGGGAGCGAGGTGCTGCTGGAATTCGAAGCCTGGGGCGATAGCGACGTCGGTCGTTGCGCTCCCGTGGGGGCGGGATTGCCTTGGGGCGTGGGCGAGGGATTGTGTGAGGAACTCTTGCGTTTCGAACCCACTAGGTTCTTGAAACGGGCGTTCATGGAACTCATGAGAGAGGAGGGAGGAGGGCTGGTCAGGCGGGAGGGGTGCGGTGCAGGATATCTGGGAGCGGTGCTGCGGCTGACAGCAAGCTGGGCGCGGTCCAAACGGCGCAAGCTGCAAGGCTGTGTGAAGGAAAGCCCGCCAACGCGGTGCGGCGCAGTCCCGAGGGAATCGACTGGGGCAGCTGGAGGATGAGCAAAGTATCCTCGAGCTTGACACGGCAGATGCAGCGCGCGCACACCCAACAGTTGACCTTCCTGGCCACGGCGCTTCCTGGCGAAATTGACGCGGCGGGGTGAATTGTACACAAAGAGCGGGTCACTCTCCGCCGGTCAGCATCCTGGGCATCCTACGCCACATACTAAGGCCATTGCCCACGACCAGCCACGTCGAGCCGCTGTCAAACACGCCTGTTCTGTCCAGTTCCCAGCGGTACCCCAGCGACATGCAACGACTATTCCCGGCCGAACACCACGTGCTGAGCAGGGCCGACTCTCAGGAGGACAAGAAGACAAGATAGTTTCCTCAAGCACTCTGGCGGCCTGACCAATCCATCAACGATGCATCCGTCTTACAAGCCCGAGCTGGGTGGGTCCGCTGCACACTGCTCACCTCAGCACTCTAGATGCCTGAGGTTGCACGTTGCGGATGCCTTGCCCTATGCGAGCAATGGGCTGGAATTGCAAAGGTACAAGCTTGACATCTCTGTGCAGTTTGCAGGTCGTCACCTATCTTCGCGTTTCTTTGTCCCGATGCCCATCGATGCCATGCTACGGACCCACTAAACTCTCCACACCAGGGTCCGTAAGGCTGGTGTCTAAACTTGGAACCGGGCCTGTTCGGTCACGGTATGCTAGCGTCGAATTGTGCAGCACGTTAACCAGTAGATTCGGACTCGCATGCGTATGTTTGAGACTCGATCAAAATTTCCAATGGCAATGTCTTGATGCTATGCGAAATATGTGCTAAAATGATTTCAAGATGCGACCATCCAACGTCCCAACGGACTCAAGTGTATCCAATGTGTCCAATGTGTCCAATGTACCCATATTCCAGTGTATCCAACGTAAAACGCCCACAAGTAACCCATCGCCCTGTCCAAAAGTCGTATAGAATGCTCGCCTGTGTACCATGACTCCCAATGCTGTATTCGCGATCATCCCACCAGCCCACTCCCAAACGCCAGCCAAGCCAACACCCCCGACACAACCAACAACATTATCGCAACGACAAACATCGCAACAATATTCTCGACCGAGTACCTCACATCATCCGGCCTGACCACATCCACACCAATCTGACTCTCCTCGTCTTCCTCGCGACCCCCATGCTGGCCACGCGGTACGTACTGCACGAGCGTGTCGCGATAAGACTGTCGGACTGCGATTGCGTATGGAGGGGGTGCGTCGGCTGGGTAGAAAGCATCGTTAGGTTGGTGAGATATTTCCGTCGACTGCATGTACGCGTGGGAAACGAGGTGGGCGAGAGGGACGTCGTCGGCGTCTGGGGTGTGGGGTGGTGAGTCTGTGTATGGTTGGTAAGGTGGACTGCGTCGCGACTGCCGTTGATGGGTCGGTGAAGCGGTTTGACGCGTCGAGGGTGATGCTTCTGTTGGAGTTGGGGGGTCGTCGCGGTAGGGCTCTTCGTCTGCGTAGGGAGGAGGCGTTGCGGACAGCGGTTTTATGGTCGCGGATGAGTCTGAGGAGCTGGGTGATGTTTGGTGGGTAGACGATGTTATTTGATCCCATGCCGGAGAGTCGCGGTATGGTGTAGTAGTAGTGTTCTGCGCAATGGTTAGCTGACGTGACTCCAAAAGGGAGGATGAGTTGAATGCATACCTCCATGATGAGCTTCCAAAGCAGGATACGATGCGTTCTCTCTCAAATATGCCTCCAACACTGCCAAAAGAGCGTCCAATTCCCTCAAGCACTGCCAAAGAAGCTGCTGTAAGCTATGTCACCAAGATGCTGTTGAGCGCGATCAGTAGAGGCTGCGGCACGTTACACAGCACAGGAGGTTAGCAGTCGCGTAGTCACAGGCACATATCAAGCTGGAGAGCACAAGGCAGCTGCGACAGGCGTCCAAGGCCTTCCGCAGCAGCGGCGCAGTAGTCCATGGCTGCCCCCATCAGATGGCTGGGGGGTAGCTGTCGGCCATGGATCCGCCCACTCGGACACATCCATGCGCTGTGACGATTGTGGCTATAGCGGGGACGAGTGGGTTTAGCGCTGAGGCGCCATTCCTGGCTACGCCGCTGCCGGACCGGTAAGGCAGACATTATGACATCGGCATCCCGTTGGATTTGATCGACTATCGCGGAAGAATACAGACCACTATCCTCACATCGAAGGAGTGCTCTGCATAGCAGATTCTGTCGACTTCTCCCATCTCTCAACAAGGTTTGCAGCCAACATCAGTGCTTCCCAAGTTCCGAAGAGGAAGGACCATCGCACCGCCACAGTTCCGAAACTCTGACCCGCGACGCGACATCGCCTGACATTTCAGGAACGCGTTTCAGGATGAAAATAGGAAGCGTTCGAGACTGCAAGCGCTCCGATGGTGAACAGGTCCACCTGAATATGACAAATCTCGCGCCTCATCTGCATTGTCGGCAAGGAGGATGCGAGCCAGGTGCAGCGCACCTTGAAGCTGCAGCGTGCACGCGCTGTGCACATCACCAAAAACATCGACGCAAATACACCAAAGACATAGTAAGCATTCTTTCATTAAACTGACCTCTACTCTAGTTATACGTCCAATCTTACTTCCCAAAATCTCCGAACGCAATGTTTCCCTCAATCCCTCTGCGTCTCCGCACTGTTCATAGCAGTAAACGTTCAGACCCTCTATCGATCTACCCACGATATTCTCTTCACCGCTAGAATCACATACCAAAACCCACAGTCATTGACTCGTCAAAGGGTTGCGCATCTCTGAATTCAGTCTCCTATCTACTTCCCTGGAGCTTTTCTCGTGGCATTCTTCCTACCTCATCCTACAGTTTCCTCTTCACGTGTCGTTCACGATAAATTGACTGGATGCGAACGTAAGACCGGTCGCAGACCCACACGACTTACTACTGACCCCTTCTAGTCCTACTCCGACCACGTTGCGGAAGTCCGTCATCGGATTCGCTCTCACTCGGGCAGTCGTCGTTCTCGGATCCGGCGCCATCTTGAGGGGAGGTCTGGTTCGCGACCCTCAGGTCCCTTCCGCTAGTCGATTCATTCCTGGAGGAGTTCTCCAGCGAGGTGCCGTTGGTAAGCGAAGGAACGCCCGTGAAATCTCCGTCGAAATCCGCGAACTGCGATTGATCGATCGATCCGCTGTGGTTGTCTGGATCTGGTTGCTCGTAGAGTTCTTCGTAGAACGCCATGTCGTCATCAGCAAGGTTACCCTCTGAAGTTTCAGAGCTGTCTTGTGTGTGATACCAGCCGGTAGGAGCGCGAGCTGGGACGGAACCTTGAGAGCAAGTTGATACTGACGCGTTGCGGACTCTCAGCGGCCCCTGACGTACATAGTACGGAAACGACGAATTGATTTCTTTATCTCCTTCGTCGTCAGCGTCTGCCGAGCTGTTATCATCGGCGTGACGCGTATTGGTAGCCCACCAACGCTCAACCCCAATGTCTCCAAGGTGACCGCCCGAGGCTGAAGACGTGGGAAACCGGGTGCCAGTTGACACAGCCTCTTCAACTGAGAACTCACCTGTAGAGAACCGTCGAGATGCTGGGACCGCTTCCGGTACACTGTCCAAGGATGAGCAAAGCGAAAACCGAGACTTAGCCGGGACAGCCTCTTCGACTGACCATTCATCCAGAAAGAAACGCCGAGCTGCTAAGAATGCCTCTGGCATGCCATCAGAAACCTCATCTGTTCTATCGACGTGATAATCCGGGTAATCTGGCCATGACGACGACGATGAAACCGAGGCGTCGTCTGGAATATCAATATCAGTCCGGTAGCACAGTGATGCTGAAGCTGCGAGCTTTGCGCGGAAGTTAACGTCCTTGGCTGTAGATGGCGTATGATTAATGACACGCAACCGCGGACGGGATCCATCGTCTACCATATCGGCGTAAGAACGATACTGCGGGCAACCTACCTGAAGGAGCTCGTAGCATTCAACATGGGAGTACGTCGTGCCTTTTCCGTTCGCACCGTCCCATTGCTGCGACTTGGGGATAGCAAAGTTCGGGGGTACGGAATGCGATAGGCGTCCACGCCCCCTATATCCGACATCTTGTAAGTAATACGCATCTGCCTCACCACCAGGGTGATAACAAAGCAAATCATCTTGTTGATTCCGCGACTGCGGGCGTGGACGATTCCGGTACCTAACAGCGTTAGAACGCTGGAGACAAACCGCAGCCGGAGGAGGCGGCCGCGGTATATCTAGCTTTTCAGCCCCAGCCAGTTTGAATTTGGCAAGCACCGAAAAAGGCTCTTCGTCGCTAATAGAGCTGGCAGAACCCGGGCTCGGTGACCTAGAACGCAGTCTAACAACCTCCACAGCACTCTTGATGAGATTAGAGACACTGGAGACGACTTCTTTAACCTGGGGTACACAAGCCTGCCGATTATCTTTCTTCTCCCCAGTCATCCCACCCGTCTCAGGCTCCATAACCATACTCTCACTCAAGCGTCGCGGCTGCTCTTGGTCAGCAGAGTTCTTCGGAGCCGTCATATCCAAGCTCAGCCTTTCTCGGAACCTGGAGGAGCCGGCAGGACGGTTAGTATACCGAGGTGGTGCTGAGGAAGGGTAGACACGTACGTATTGGGTTTGTTGGGTTGAGGGGGCTTTGGCGAGGGCGGTGGAGGTGGAGGAGCTGGCATGTTGGGGGTGAGAGGTGTGTGTGTGGTTGCGCGTGTCCGTGAACGTTCTCGTCGCCATGCCGGTGGCTTTTGGGATTGAGGAGGGTGTGGTGGTGGTTGGTTGATCTGTTGGTCGGTGAGTCTTGCGCATCCTTAAGAATGCTAAAATCTGTGCCGTGCCGAAGGTCATATTGGGGAACGTCTATGCCTGATAGATTTCGAGATTATCGTTGAGTATTCGATGGCACCGTAAATCGCAAATCGATATCTCAGTGTCTTTCCAATATGTCTTAGCTTAACAGTTCACTAAGCTTCTGACTTTCACGGTAATGTTTGCTGCAGGGGGACTATTCGGGAATAGTTCAGGTCACTGTTTTATACAGGGCATTGCTTCTAGCGATGTCTACGAACATCTCCGATTTACTTCTTGTGCAAGAACGCGGATGGCCAAGATGAGTCATGCCACGCTGACATTGTGAGTTTAGAGCGAGTGGATATCTGATGTTGAGCGGTTCGATTCGGTCAGAGTGGTCGGTTTCATGTATCAATAGGAATCGTGGCGCAAAGTGTAGACACAGCATATCGATTGTAGTGAAAGTCAGATGCGCACTTGGTGGCTGTGATTATGTCGTTGTATTGATCATCTTCTACTGAAGGCTGTCTGTCGTTTCGTAATCCTCCTAAAATGTGAGTCTTGACCCCGCTACGAATTGAGAGCCAACCCGTTGTATATCTTTCTGCCGCGACATGGTGATCGCATAGCTGAGATACGAAAGGACATCCAGTTCATGCTCGTGAAGTGATGTTCAGTACATAAACAGGGTCGTAGCCAACTTATGAATGTTCCAAGACTCGGGTATATTGCGTAAAAAGATCAATACGTTCAATGACGCGTCCGAACCCGTCACATAGGATGGCCGGGGTATCATGGACTTCGTGACTGGAAGTTTACGCGGTGAGGTTCTCAAGGTTATCAGCCTTACTGAGTCGCCTGACGCCCTCCGCTTTCCTGTCTTCCGCAAGAAGTGACGCAAATTTACTAGCCTTTCTGATCTGGGGTCCCTTCCAGTAGAAGACGTAGATTGGTGCCACGACCAAACAAGACAGGCATGCCAGTAGGGTAGTGGCGTACTCAGATTTCTGGGGGCTTGACGATGCAAGGTTGTTGTACATGGGTGTGGCGTACATGGCGGAGATACCGGCGAGGAAATCACGAGCGAACGCGTTTCCTCCGGTGGCCGAAGCCGAGTATGGTCCGTAGGCAGCGATCATGTAATCGACGGAGGAGTAGTAGATGGCGAAGTTTGCCAGTCCGACGAGGAAGGAGAAGATCATCGGTGCGATCCAATGGGTTTGTGGTGGTCCCATACCTGTGTCACCATTAGCTGAAGTTCAATTGATGGTGTATAGGAGTCAACTTACAAGTCCAGGCAAATCCGAACAGCCCGATAGGCTCGAACAGCGCAAGCAGAAGAAGCGGCTTCAATCGTCGCTCTGGTGTCATCCAGTCGGGGCCGTTCTTCTTGCGCAGGTGATCATCGCGCCAGAACCAGGGCCAGTACAAGAAGTAGGTGAAGAAGTAAGCGGCGTTGATAGGAATGAAAGCCCAAGCGACTTGAAGTGTGCCGAAACCGAAGTTGTTCGGGAATGTGACGTTGAAAGCTTCTAGGAATGTGAAGATCAGAGCATCGGAGAAACCAGAGAGTAGCGACAGGCATAAGACGATAGGTTCCCGAATGAACATCTCAAACGGACGGAGCCAGATCTTCCCGGCTTCCTTGAGCGAAATTCGTGGCGATTTAAGCTCATTCGGTCCGTAGATGTTGGGATCTTCGCCGGTCTTGCGACGTCTTTTGGCCTCGCGATCGATGAGAATGGTAGCTCGGCTCTCAGGCATGAAGAAGTGTACCGCTTGCACAGCAACACCGAAGATCAACTGAATCCAAAAGTTCCATTGCCAGGAAAGGTATTTTTCGATAGGGCCGCCAATGACACCACCGATAGAGGTTCCGATCGTAGACGACAAGACGATAAAGCACAGCGGCCAGTGCTGTGTTTCTGGTTCGTACATATCCGCGATAAGACCAAGAGTCACACTGCCTCCTGCTGTGGAGAGACCACCCTAATACTCATCAGCATTTGAAGTACCAAGTACGGAGGAGACTTACAAGAGCTCTGCAGACTATAATGGTGGCGAAGTTCGGTGCGACAGAGCAAGGAATTTCCCAGATGTTGATAAGAAACATGCTGAGCTGCAGAATTGGCCATCTACCAAACTCCTCACTCCATGGCGCCCACAGCTCGCAGCCAAAGGAATAGAAGACCAAATAGATCATCTGTCCAACGCGCGCTGCCTGTGCGCTAATTCCGAAGTGCTCAGAGATGGGGTTGACGGCGCTGGGATAGACCGACGTGTTGAAGTTCATGGAGATTTGGATTCCAGCAATGGAAGCCAGATACATGGCCTTCTTCCACTTAGGCCATGAGTATGCGAGCTTATCCCAGCACTCCCATTCTCTCAACTCGCGCTTCCCGTCTGCACGGATCATCGACGGATGGTGGTTTCCCTGAGGGTCGACAGGGACATCGGTATGCCACTTCTCCTCCTCGCTAGTCTCGGCTGGGATACTTGGGCGTCGCGAGGTATCATCTTTCTCAGAAATCGGGCCTGACCCAGCTCGGGCGGGCGAAGGGTGCCTGGACTCGCGTTCCGTCATCGTAGGGTGGGCTGGACGAAGAAGCTGGAGATGAGAGTCGGGGTGCGGGTTGGGGTATTAAGGCCCTCTTGAACCCAACAAAAGTCCACAGTTGGCATCCACCTCCAGAATGACGTCTGAGGAGAAAGCCCGTTGCGAAGAACGACTCTCCACTCAGAGAGGGGCCTGTCACAATGGGATCCATTGTTGCGAACCGATTTCGTACAATATCGGCCTAAAATTTGACGTTGAGATCGGGGTGATAGATGCCATCGACGACATCGACGACCTGGGCGATGGAGTGTGTCTCAGGGTGGGCCTAGCCTGGTCATGTCGGGGTGCTCTTTGGCGGTTGTGTCTTGTGGACCCAACTATGTGACGGTAAGCTTCGTCCATGCAGCGAAAAACTAGTAGTTATGTGCTTAATCCACTTCTTGCCGACGTGCGCTCACCTCCCGACAGGCCAAACGTCCGTAGATCTGCATGCGGCTCAAGTAAAGAATGGGCCAAGTGGGTCGAAAGCCCACAAGTTCTCAAGCAGCTAAGGCGGTCACCCGATAATGCTTGACTTGTTTGGCTTCCTTGTGTCCGTTACAAATACAGGTACACTCGTAAGAGAGTTGCCTCGCTCTAATCGCGTTGCAACATTGACGAGATCTTTCAGACTGTCGCATCGAGTGGGTCAGCGGCACCTCAGGCAGGCAGCAAGAAAGAGTCTTTATCGGCTCCAGCGGCGGCATGTAAGAATGCGGTCTGGCAATTGATCATCATGCCGTAGTCGTCCGATTGGGGTATAGATGGGAAGAGGCTCTGCGGGCGACGGATGCAGGTGCAGGGTGAAAACTCTAAGCTCGGTTGCATGACATCATGGCGCATGAACGCGAGATCCGCC